GAGAATTATTGAACTTAAATGTAATGTTTGTCTTGCTAACAAAATGCGGCTTGCCTGAGCCATAGATTGAATCTGTCCTTAATAATTTGTAGAGAAAACAAATAGAAAAAGAACTTGAATTGTCGGGCAAGTTTTAAGCTCATATATCTCCTGGATGGTGCCACAAAATAAAATCGAAATGTGAGTCTGAAACCTTAAATCTCCTTGAATAATGACAAGGACTTGAAGTCGATATTTCAAAATAAATTATGAGCACGACTTGCATCTTGAAATCGAAAAAAAGGCATAAGTTTACAATCAAATAGCTCTTTTCATGAAAGTAATAATGTGATACAACATCCTTTCAACTTCGACGTTGGTGGTGACTGTACCATGCTCACGCTATTTACCAAAAAAGAATCTTTCCAAAATCGAAACCATGGAAACTCTCAATAATGGCCAAACTTCCTCAAAGAAGGGTATCCCCAGGATAACACTGTATTGCAACCAAGCTTGAAGTTCTAGGGCCCCAATCATAATGTTTTAGAGCCTAACAAACTCGAGTTTGAGGTCAAGTCCCAGATGTCAAATTCCCATACTTAACATCGCGTGGAAAGTGAACCCTGATTCTCTAGGGTATACCCGGAAACTCCTGAGAAATTCTGAAGTAAACAGTCACTAGGAAGTCCATAGGGCTATCTGAATTAGAATACTGCGGTCACACGTTGAAGTACTGGACTGTATGGACCTGTTCTTGATAACACCACACCTGCGTAAACTGGTTAGTCGTAATAAACATACATGCAGAAGAAAGAAACAAGCAAGAAATAAACACACAAGGGCAGGACCTTATGGTCAAAAGTTAGGGTGTGACAACCCCATACCATTACACAAAAAAATTTTGAACCAAAATACCCTCGTATAAATAGTTACAATTTTAGAAATTTTACTTTCCCATTTCATTTGCATTTGAAGACTTCCGGAACTACCATTTTTCATCTACAAACCGGAACACTTAGCATAAGTCTTACGGTACATAAGTGTAAACCGAAATTCATTTCAGAAGTCTTCCGGTTCAGAAAGCATATACCGGAACTCTTAGAGTAAGTCATTGGGTGTTGTAAGCTTTCCGAAAGTCATTGATGAAGACTTCCGATTTTTGTTTTTTTCGTTTGTTTACCGGAAGACTTTAAGTATGTCTTCCGGTATTATGAGTTTTTTAAATTCACTGGAAGTCTTTTTGCCAGTCTTCCGGTTCATTTTTTTTAATTTTTTTTTGGCAGTGGTGCGCACACGAGGCAGAGACGGCAAGATCCCTTTTCACGGACTATGATGGGGCGAATCATCGAGAATGGCTAAAGAAGAGCATATTGATGTATCTGCATCAACAACCGAGCCTGTTGGATATCCAGGAGGACCGTACGATACTTCTCTTTTAGTTATATACGGACATCATATTGCTAGACATATATGGTTCGGTGAGGTAAGTAAACAAAAATATATTGAATAAAATTCAAATTTTTGATGTTGAATTTTATAATATACTTACTTTTAATTGTTTTCAGGAGAGAGGTTTGAAGAAAAAGTTAAAGGTAGCAGGACATGGGTTGAAGTTGATTCAGAGGGTTCCACTACAGCTACCAAGAGAGATGGAGGGTTGGATATCTAGGTCTGGTCTAACTTCACTCCAGAGAACCAGTTTGAAAAAGATAGACACGAACCTGGTTTCCGCATTTGCAGGGAGATGGCATCTAGAGACATCTTCATTTCACATGTCGTTTGGTGAGATGACGATTACTCTAGATGACGTCTCTTGCCTGCTTCACTTGCCCATCAGGGGAGTCTTATGGAGCCCTCAAGATATCAATGAAGGACTTGTTATTGATTACTTAGGAGTGTCATAGAGCGTGGCACAACAACAAGTTCGTGACTGCAGGGGTTCTTATTATAAGTTGGAATGGTTATATGATCGATTTGTAGAGCATAAAGCTGCTTCTAGATGAGATTATGCGACTAGAGCTTATCTGTTGATGTTAGTGGATTTCAATATTTTTGTGGACAAGACGTTTACGCTTGTCGAGGCACGATATCTATCATTATTTATAGACTTGGAAGGGTTATCAAGATATAGTTGGGGAGCAGCTGTGTTGGTTACCCTCTATAGATATCTTGGAGATGCTTCCATGTTCAGTTGTAAGCAGCTCGGTGGTCATCCGACTCTCCTACAGGTATTTATTTTAATCTAGTATATTTTGTTTTAATTAATTTTATTTAGTATATTAATTTTATTTATCTAATTTATTATGTTATAATTAATTATTTTAAATTTAGTAATGGTATTAATTTTGTAACAGTGTTGGATTCATGAGTATTTTCCAACACTTGGAAAAAAAAGGAGAGAATTGGATATCAGCTAATAATGTGGGTCTCCCTCGAGCGATGAGATGGTCCTATAGGCAAGGTGTCCTGAAGGTGGATGACTTGCGACCTATTCTAGACGAGCTGACACCTGCCGATGTCATATGACGCCCATTCAAGATTCTCTCACTACCAAATGCCTCTATCATCAAAGATTCTCTCACTACTACTAACTGATCAGTAAATAAATTGACATACAAACTTGATCTTTCATTATGTATTATTTTCAACCCCAAGTCTCGACGAACCATTGGCCAACCATCTTCACCATATCCATGCAATGAAGCAATGACTCTAAATCCACAATTACCATCTGATACAACATTAACTACATCATCAATATATGACCCGACGTGATTAGGAAACTGAAGGATGAACTACTTAGATGACTGTGATAATTTCAACTTCTTCGAAGCCTGTGTTGGTTGAGATTTCTTTTGTGAAGACTGTGATAATTTCAACTTCTTCGAAGTCTGTGATGGTTGAGATTGCCTCTGTGAAGATTGAGATGCTTGATCAACATACTCATGATACGAAGGGTCTCTATAAACATCATACCCTACTGGTTTTTTGTCTTTCTTCTTGACTCCCCCTTTAGTTTTTATTTTCTCAGGTGGTCGGCAGATAGAAGTCATTGTGGGGAAGGCAAGTTCAAAAACCCTAATTTTTAATGCCATTTTCCCAACAACATCCAGTGACTTAAACCTTTTCCATAAGTCATCTATTACACTACTCATATTCACCTCTGATCCATCATCTACGTCTTCGTCCAACTTAACTTCCATACTTAGTTTTCTCCAATGAACATGCACAACATCTATTGGTATCGGTATACCATCAATTCTATATCCTGTCAACTCACAAGCACAAGGTAATCCATAGGTTGTTCTAAGAGTACAACGACATATTCCCTTATTAGTTCCAACACAATCAACTCGTTTTAACTCTTCAGCAATGCGTCTCAATGCATCTCGAGACACTGAACCACGTAAATTATTGTAAAATAGACTTACGTGGGCGTGCTAAACTTCATAAAAACTCTTTTGAAAAGAAGCTCTAATTTTGCCTAGTTGTAACTTTAAGTTGTCATTCATAGCCTCCCAACATTTAACCATGTCACCAATATTGTTCCCCAACATTTGCTTTAACTTCCAATGAGCAGACTCAACCCTAAAATTAATACATATTAACAATATTTTAAAAAGTACAAAAAAGATATACAATTTAGAAATACTAAAAATAGATACATACTGATTAGTCGTGGTGTTATCCAAATATAGCACTCGATTAATCCATGCTCCAACAAATCTTTGTCTATGTGGTGTCAACCATATGTCCTTCACATAATCAATAAATTCATTACAATCAACACACGTCTGCTCAAGTTGGGTCAACCTTTGATCATACTCAACCTCATCACTAGCCCATACAACATCCGTCCATAATTCGTCAATTTTCTTTTGCATGTCACTAGCAACATAATGTTTCCGTTTTGCACCAACATTCTTGTTAATATGAAATCGACATAGCAAATTGATTGACCTTGGAAACAAAATTTCAATGGCTTTCATCAAACCAAGATCTTTATCTATCAAAATCACTTGTGGACACAAATCTTTCTTCACAAATAATTGTTTAAGCTTATCTAGCACCTAACAAAAAGTCTCAGTCTGCTCAGACTTAATATACGCAAATGCGACAGTAAAATTCAACTCGGTTGATGTCATGCCAACAATTTCAAATAGAGGTTGCCTATATTTGTTTGTCTTGTAAGTGTTGTCCATAACTAACACAATAGGAAAAATATTCAACAACTTAACTGAATCTGGATGAGCCTAAAATATATCTCTAATAACTTCAGAGTCATCTCTTTTTCTACTCCAATAAACATAACCTGCATCCTCAATAAGCTTAAACAACTGTTGTATCTCACTTCTAGGACCTCTTATATTTTTTCTATCATACTCTTTTGCTTGTATATTTGCGTGATCCGAGTGACATTATATGGATCTTGCTCTTGCAATGAAAGCAATATATGTCTAGGTGAAACCTTTCTCTTTGTCAAATCAACAACATGTTACTTCTGATCCCCTGTCAACCTACCAACAAATGTTTGACCTTCTAATCTATCAGGTAAACCATGGTTATGAACTCCATCATAGAGGTTTATAACCATGAAGTTCATAACCATGGTTTATAACTATGTTGCTTCTAATCTGTCAATCTTTATGATGGAGTTCATAACCATGGTTTACCTGATAGATTAGAAGGTCACGCATTTGTTGGTAGGTTGACAGCAGATCAGAAGCAACATATTGTTGATTTGACAAAAAGAAAGGTTCCACCTAGACATATATTGCTTTCATTGCAAGAGCAAGATCCAGATAATGGCACTCGGATCACGCAAATATACAAGCAAAAGAGTATGATAGAAAAAAATATGAGGTCCTAGAAGTGAGATACAACATTTGTTTAAGCTTATTGAGGATGCAAGTTATGTTTATTGGAGTATAAAAAGAGATGACTATGAAGTTATTAGAGATATATTTTAGGCTCATCCATATTCAGTTAATTTGTTGAATATTTTTCCTATTGTGTTAGTTATGGACAACACTTACAAGACAAACAAATATAGGCAACCTATGTTTGAAATTGTTGGCATGACATCAACCGAGTTGACTTTTGCTGTCGCATTTGCGTATATTGAGTCTGGGCATACTGAGACTTTTTGTTGGGTGCTAGATAAGCTTAAACAATTGTTTGTGAAGAAAGATTTGGTTCCACAAGTGATTTTGACAAATAGAGATCTTGGTTTGATGAAAGCCATTGGAACTGTGTTTCCAAGGTCAATCAATTTGCTATGTCGATTTCATATTAACAAGAATGTTGGTGCAAAACAGAAACACTATGTGGCTAGTGACATGCAAAAGAAAATTGACGAATTATGGACGGATGTTGTATGGGCTAGTGATGAGGTTGAGTATGTTCAAAGGTTGAACCAACTTGAGCAGACGTGTGTTGATTGTAATGAATTTATTGATTATGTGAAGGACATATGGTTGACACCACATAGACAAAGATTTGTTAGAGTATGGATTAATCGAGTGCTACATTTGGGTAACACCGCGACTAATCGGTATGTATTTATTTTTAGTATTTCTAAATTGTATATCTTTTTTGTATTTTTTAAAAATATTTTTAATATGTATTAATTTTAGGGTTGAGTCTGCTCATTAGAGGTTAAAGCAAATGTTGGGGAACAGTATTAATGGCATGGTCAAATGTCGGGAGGCTATGAATGACAACTTAAAGTTACAACTGAGCAAAATTAGAGCTTCTTTTCAAAAGAGTTTTGATGAAGTTGAGCACGCCCACGTAAGTCCATTTTACAATAATTTACGTGGTTCAGTGTCTCGAGATGCATTGAGATGCATTGCTGAAGAGTTAAAACGAGTTGATTATGTTGGAACTAACAAGGAAATATGTCGTTGTACTCTTAGAACAACCTACAGATTACCTTGTGCTTGTGAGTTGATAGGATATAGAATTGATGGTATACCGATACCAATAGATGCTATGCATGTTCATTGGAGAAAACTAAGTATGGAAGTTAAGTTGGACGAAGACGTAGATGATGGATCAGAGGTGTGTTGTTGGAAAAAGGACATTAAAAAGTAGAGTTTTTGAACTTGCCTTCCCCACAATGACTTCTATGTGTCCACCACCTGAGAAAATAAAAACTAAAGGGGGAGTCAAGAAGAAAGGCAGAAAACCAGTAGGGTATGATGTTTATAGAGATCCTTCGTATCATGAGTATGTTGATCAAACATCTCAATCTTCACAGAGACAATCTCAACCATCACAGACTTCGAAGAAGTTGAAATTATCATAGTCTTCACAAAAGAAATCTCAACCATCACAGGCTTCGAAGAAGTTGAAATTATCACAATCTTCACAATCATCTAAGCATTTCATCCTTCAGTTTCCTAATCAGATCAGGTCATATATTGATGATGTAGTTAATATTGTATCAGATGGTAATTGTGGATTTATAGTCATTGCTTCATTGCATGGATATGGTGAAGATGGTTGGCCAATGGTTCGTCGAGACTTGGGGTTGAAAATAATACATAATGAAAGATCAAGTTGTATGCCAATTTATTTACTGATCAGTTAACAGTAGTGAGAGAATCTTTGATGATAGAGACATTTGGTAGTGAGAGAATCTCGAATGGGCGCCATACGACATCGACAGGTGTCAGCTCGTCTAGAATAGATTGCAAGTCATCCACCTTCAGGACACCTTGCCTATAGGACCATCTCATCGCTCGAGGGAGACCCACATTATTAGCTGATATCCAATTCTCTCCTTTTTTTCCAAGTGTTGGAAAATACTCATGAATCCAACACTGTTACAAAATTAATACTATAACTAAATTTAAAATAATTAATTATAACATAATAAACTAGATAAATAAAATTAATATACTAAATAAAATTAATTAAAACAAAATATACTAAATTAAAATAAATACCTGTAGGAGAGTCGGATAACCACCGAACTGCTTACAACTGAATATGAAAGCTTCTCCAAGATATCTATAGAGGATAATCAACGCAGTTGCTCCCCAACTATATCTTGATAAACCTTCCAAATCTATAAATAATGATAGGTATCGTGTCTCGACAAGCGTAAACGTCTTGTCCGCAAAAATAGTGGAATCCACTAACATCAACAGATAAGCTCTAGTCGCATAATCTCATCTAGAAGCAGCTCTATGCTCTACAAATCAATCATATAACCCCTCCAACTTATAATAAGAACCCCTGCAGTCACGGACTTGTTGTTGTGTCACTCTCTGTGACACTCCTAAGTAATCAACAACCCATTCAATATCAAGTCCTTCATTGATATATTGAGGCCTCTAGAAGACTCCCCTAATGAGCAAGTGATGCAGACAAGAGATGTTATCTAGAGTAATCGTCATCTCACCAAACGACATGTGAAATGAAGATGTCTCTAGATGCCGTCTCTCTGCAAATGCGGAAACCAGGTTCGTGTCTATCTTTGTCAAACTGGTTCTCTGGAGTGAAGCTAGACCAGACCTAGATATCCAACCCTCCATCTCTCTTGGTAGCTGTAGTGGAACCCTTTGAATCAACTTCAACCCATGTCCTGCTACCTTTAACTCTTTCTTCGAACCTCTCTCCTGAAAACAATTATAAGTAAATATATTATAAAATTCAACATAAAAAATTCGAATTTTATTCGATATTAAATAATTTTTGTTTACTTACCTCACCGAACCATATATGTCTAGCAATATGATGTTCGTATTTAACTAAAAGAGAGGAATCGTTCAGCCATTCTCGATGATTCGCCCCGCCCTAGTCCGCGAAAAGGGATCCTACCGTCTATGCCTCGTATACGCACCACTGCCAAAATAAAAACATAAAAAAAATTAAAAAATAAAAAAAAATGAACCGGAAAACTTGCAAAAGGACTTCTGGTGAATTTAAAAAACTCATAATACCAGAAGATATACTTAAAGTCTTCCAGTAAACAAACGAAAAACAACAAAAACCAAAAGTCTTCACCAATGACTTCCAGAAAGCTTACAACACCGAATGACTTACTCTAAGAGTTCCGGTGTATGTTTTCTGAACCGGAAGACTTCAGAAATGTGTTTCAGTTTACACTTTGTGTATTGGAAGACTTATGCTAAGTGTTCCGGTTTGTAGATGAAAAATGGTAGTTTCGGAAGTCTTCAAATGCAAATGAAATGGAAAAGTAAAATTTCTAAAATTATAACTATTTATACGAGGATATTTTGGTCCAAAAAATTTTAGTGTAGGGATATGAATATAATTGTAGAAATATGGAGTAAAATTTTCGAATATATTTTCTCTTCTTCCTCTCACTCCTTCTGCACACAATCCTCCATCGATCCCCCTTTACCACAATCTTTCCAAAGGGACCAACTATTTCCTTTGACATAGACACCTAGTCCACTTGAAAAACTCCTCTACGACTTAGAATTCTAAATTCACACGAGCAATCCCCACGATTGTGCGGCGTGCAAGTTTAATTCATACCTGTGAATAAACGACCAACATAAGAACTGAATCCAAAATATTCACCGGTTTCACTGAACCCAATTGAATTTAGCTTTAGTTCATAAATATATATAATTCATACCTGTGGTTCTTACAAGTTTATGGGTATTACAACAAAGGTAATCTACAAACCCCTCAAACCAGAAAAACATGTTTCTGTTATTATTCAGAACAAACAAAAAAGAACATGCAAACATATGTAAATAGAACCTTAAACGACCTTACAACTTCAACCATTCCAAACAAGGGCACAGGCCCCAACAATATCTAGAGGGGTAATAATCCTTTAAGTAAACGTCCCTGTTATACCCTACAATATAGAAACTGAAGGATTGCCGGCGATGAGACATGGTGACGCGAGTTACCGGAACAACTGAAATTGTATGTCTCTCGCAAATGACCCTTGCAGTGGTAGGCACTTGAGCTCTCTCAGCAATGACTTCAGAAGAGAACTTGTTGAGAAAAAAAGAATCAGCAAAAAAGGCAGGAGTGCATTGGTAAGCCTGTGTGTTGCATAATTGAACCCCTTGGGATCTATGGAAAACCTCATCCGGTACTGATGCTGCTCCTCTTGTTGCATTTACTTTCCGAGTTGAAAGTGTCTTCCTGTAAAAGAAGTTGATATTGAGAATAACAACCTGAAACTGTAGGACTAGGAACTTCTTAAAAGAAGGTTAGACGTGAGCAGATTAACATACCACTTAATAATGGCTACACTGCGTGCTAAAAGAGAACCACTTCCATTACACGTTTCACATTTAAGTAATCCACGAGATCCACAAGTTGCACAAGGAAGCTTCCCTTTACCATTACATTTCACACATCTGCAAGAACATGTAAATTGAATAAGTCAATTGTGTATAAACTTTCATCTTCAAACAAGGCAGTGCAGCATAGACATTTGAGTTCCTAACAATCATTCAATAGGAGCTTAAGCCATTTTTACAATAGATCCAACCAAGTTACGCACTATATAAGCAAACAAACCAACTCACATAGTGTCAGAACCATCTTTATGAGCAATCAAACCCCTTCCATAACAACTAGGACACTGAGTCATCTGATTTTCTTTATAATGTCCAGGTTCTTGGTCGGCATTGCAAGTACCACAGACTATTCCTCCTCGTCCGGCACAACCTGAAAATAATTTTCAGGGTTTTAATGAGAAGGTAAAAAGATATATTAAGTAAATTACAGTGTATATACATCAAAATGTGATTGGTGAAACTATGAGATCATAAAAACACAATTTACCTGAGCATTTTTCAATAATTTCCGAATGGGGAATTTTTTCACGGACTTCTTTGTGTGGTACAAATAGAACAGGGAACTGAGATCTTAGATCCAATTCCCAAATACTAAGTGCCGGTCCATTATCCTTACCATCAATACTGCCACCAAGGTATGGCTCTGTCTCTTTTACGATCTCTCTTTCTTCGATAAACGTATCGAGAGTTCCAACATAAACGTTACAGTCTTCCACTGCATGAATCTTCCATGTTCGAGCAGGACGACTACCCCAACAACAATGATGACCAACGTGATCAATCAGCAACTCTCGTATCTCTACTTCATCCAAGGTTTCCCTATAAGTGGATTATCCATTTGACATGGTTATTCATCAATATAGTGCTGGAATATTCAACTAAAGAACTTTTTTTTAATCATAAAGAGCTTTATTGATCGATAACAACATTGCAACATTTTACAAAAAAGATATTTTATTTCCAGCACCAAACATTAGCAATATTATGGTCTAAATCGGCATGCCCAGCCTAGTTTCAACACGACAAGCTATGTGAAACACATTTTTCATAGACACAATTTAAGTAATTATACCTCCGGGATTCAGGCCTGGCTTCTCCATAATCTCCTCCATATCCGCCTTGATAAACAAGAGCTTGCACTGCAACAAGTAACGTAATTAACATCTTAGGCAAAAACCCTTCTACAACAAAAACTTAAACAAGAAAGCTAGTAACCCTCTATTTCCCTCATAATTTCTGTACAAAAGCATAACAAATAACAAATTCTACCTAATCAAACATAAATTCAGTGTTATCAGTAGCCGTAATTTAACAACACTACATAAGTTGTAATTTAAAAAAAAAAGTTCTTTTGAACTTTGGATTCAATAATTTCACCAATCTCTACAATATTAAAATGAATACAGAAGGTTCTACATTTCCATGAATTAGTCTTGGAAATGAAAACTAGAAACACAAGGTCAAAACCAATCATTAAAATTGAAAAGAGTGACAAAAATAACCAGAAACAAGAACAGAACCAACCTGCAGGATCAGGCTCAGGTGATCCAACCAAAGCCCCATGAAGAGAAGGAGGATAATAACCCGCCGAAGAAGAAACAGCAGCAGCAGATCGAATTTCATCAACACTTACCTCAGTTCCAGCCAACGAAGCAGTGGGAATTGCAGAACCTGTTCGACCCACGTACTGATACGAGCTCCATTTTTCATTCTGATTCTCAGCCAATTCACTTCTTTGTTCTAATTCAACAAAACAAAAAACAGAAAATACCCAAAATCAAAATCGTGATAGAATTTCAAGATCAATAATAAAAATTGAAAATTTATGGGAAAAGATTGTGATGGGCGAAAATTGAAATTGTACCCGATAAAAGAGATTGTTCCATGATGGTTAAGATTGCTAAGATAGAGACCAAGTTATGGACAAATGTGCATTATATTATATATAATATGATTTTAATTTAGCTTTGCCATTAAGAAAGTCGATTTGTGGATTATGGAAATTAGATGAGTCATATGGTGTGAGCGTTGTAGATGGTCCACGCTCTTAATACACGGCGTGATGCTAACAACAAACGGCAAAATCCAAGAACATAACTTTTGTTGTTTTGATTAAAGGAAAAAAAAAAAAACGTATATGCAAATTTTGTTAGAATTTTTTATCTAAATAACTCATTTTTCTAAATTTATTCCTAAAATAATTTAAATTTAAAAACAAAATCCCAATCTTAGCCACCGTTGAAAAAAGAAACAAAATTTGGAACGAAGTAATAGTGTTAGTGTGGATTGTGATTTTTTTTTTAAATATAAGTAATTAATATTAATATTTAATTTAAAATATTTTTACAGACATTAACGATGATGACTGAGTTGGTTATATCGGTCACCAGTTCTACATTCCTTAACTATCTTAACTTGTTGCATTCGTTGTTGATTCATCTCAAGTATTTGAGGATTTGAGGTCTCAAAGAACATCACTAAAATCGCTAAGAAGTTCTTGCATTTTAAAGAAATTTTGTGTATGGAGCGACACACTGCCGTAACTGAGTTCACGACCTATGTCAAAGGAGTTGGGATGTGTTGATTGTAATGCCCCAGACTACTTTTAGGATTACTGATTGATCCCACAAATCAACACGAGTTTTTTCAAAATGTTTTGTCCTCACTTATGTGTGTGTGTGTGTGTGCGCGCGCGCGCGCGTGTGTTCGTTTGAACATTGTCTCACAACTATTATAGTGACTCTTTGCAATTTCTATTCTATATTTCAATCAATTTTTCTTTCAAACACCCGAATGTCTACTTCAAGGTTAGCACCTACTATTTTTATATCCTAATTTTTTTCTAATTCAAACATTACTAATTCATCATAATTCTTTTATTATTTTTACATATAAATCAAGATCATCAAGATAATACACCATGGTTATTCGCCAAACTTGTTGTACATTAGATGTAACCAATTCTTTCATTAATGGATCAAGTAACTTGGTATGTTCAAATTATTTACAACTATCATACAATATTTATAATGATATATAATCAATATATATTTTGGACTACTTTTTCAGTATGTTTCTAAAGAAGCATCAGATTATTGTTTTATAGATAAGGAGATCTCCGATATAGATCTCATTAATGAGGATGGTCAAGACATTTGTCATAGTTTAAAAATAATTTGTACATCAAATGATGATCACAACACTTATTTCTATCTTGAATCTAATTGAAACGAGTTCAAGAGAGAATATAATTTGAAGTTGGTGATTGCATTAGCTTTGTAGTTGATGAACATAAGTGTTTATTTATTTATTGATGTAAAAGTAAAAAAAAAAATAACAAATAAAAAATCCAGGTGAATTTTATAGACATACCACGTCAGTAAAAGTGAAGATTCCTTGTCAAGTTGTCATCTAAGGACTTAAAACAACAAAATCTTTACATTACAAGAGAAAATCCAATTTTTTTACAAAGAATGAACCAAAAGTCGGATCATCTTGCAAAGTATCATATATTTAATTCTTATAAATGAATAGAATAAAACAAAGGTATTTGATTTCTATAATTATTAAATACAAAAATTATTTATTCCACCAATTTATAAAATAAAATAAAAGTACTCTCTCAATTTTTAATTTCTAATAATATATAAATTCTACCAAATAATAAAATAAAATAATTAGATAAGCATAAAATAATTTCACACACAATAAGATTAAAATATTTTAATACTTAATAATAATGATAATAAAATATTTTAATATAAAACATCTTTAGATATGTGGGTCTTACAATCAACACCCATGGGTTTAGGTGGAGAATTGATTGTTGTAAATAGATGTGCAAAACATTTCTAATAACACCTTTGATTTTAGGTGGAGAATTGATTGATGTAGTCGGACGTGCAAAGCGTCCTTAATGGCATACCTGACTTTATGTTGGAATTTTGTTGATATAGTCGGATGTGTAAATTGTAACACTCCAAAATTTGATTAATTTAATTAATAAAATTATTCATATTTTATTTAATTATTTGGTGTTTGGTGTGTTTTTAAATAAATGTGTATGTCAAGTAGGACTGGCAATGAACCGAACCAACTCGAAAATAGTTTGGAATTCGATTCGACAATTAAATCGTTGAACTAGATTCATGAAGCAAATGAGTTGAGTATGAGTGAAAAGTTAAGTTCGTTAACTAAATGAGCTGAACTTGAACTATACATAGTTCGACTTGTTAGGTTCATGAGTCAACTCGATTACATATGAGAAGAATTATACTGTTTTTAAGATTAGGTTTAAATATTTACTCCAAATCTTAGACAAATTTAATCTTCAATTTAGTAGTTTTTGAATTAGACTCTCAAATGTATCTCTTGAAAGTTCTGTAGGTTTTGAATTAGTAGATTTCGAAGATAAAGTTAAATTTCAATAGGATAACTTTTATTTTATTTTAATACTTTATTTTAAAAATATATATTTATTTAAAATGTCAAATATACTAAAAAATATATATATTTAAAAAAATAGTTTTTAAGTCCGTGAATCATGTGAGTTGAACCTAATGAGATAAACCTAACGAGTTGAACCGAACTGTTCGTGAACTTATAACGAGTCGAGTTTGAGCTTAAAAAAAGTTCGTGTCGAACTCGAACTCGAACTCGAACAATTTTTAACGAGTCGAGCCGAGCTGAGGTGAGTTCGACTCGACTCGACTCATTTACAGCCCTAATGTCAAGTTGTATATATAGACGTGCAACATAAATGAGGTGTAGCGGGAGCCTTGATAGCGTGGGGGAAAGAATAGAAGAATTAGAATAATTAATTTAATTAGAAATAATTAGAATGAATTATTATTTTAATTAATTAAAATAAAATAAAAAATAATGAGAATTAGAGGAGTTGGAGTTATTTTGGTATAAGAGAAATAAAGGGAATAAGGAGAGAGAAAGATAATATGAGGGGGGGGGGAGGAAAATGTAATTATTCGATAGTTGAAATAATTAGGTTTATAATAAAAAGGAGTTAAAGAAACCTATAGTTGTTAGTACGTGAAATCAATTTTTTGGGAGAAAAGAGGCAAGGAAAGGCTAAAGCTTGAAGAGGGAAGAACAAACCTTAATCAACTTTGATTTTGCAAGGAACCTAAGGTAAGGGAGGAGAAAGGGATTTCCCACTCTTGTGATAATGCGTGTTCCAACTTCTTATTGTACACCACCTCTAAATATTCCAACTCTTTCTTTTGTGATTCATGGTCACTTGCTAACTTCTTCTCAACAATCTCATCCACCTGTTTCTTTTGCAAGTGTGTGTTTTTTCTCGATCTTCCATTTATCATGTCATGATGGTGGATATGGAGAGCGATCACAACTCATGGACTTTATCATCTACCATTTGTTGTCTTTTTTCATTAATCAAGTTTCTTGTAACTCCCATGAGACAATCTACGAGGGTATTTTTTTTTTGCCTTGTTTAGATTCCCTGATTCACTTTTAACATGTTATAAACATGGTGAAAATATTAATTTGCATGGTTTTATCTAAAAAATATAAGCATAAAATTATCAGAAAATAAGATTACTGTATTAATTGAGAAATCATAAGAGCTATAAGACTTCACAAACTTTTTCCAAACCTTCTTGTCAATATTATTATATTTCATAGTTGGATGCTCAAGATCAGTCTAAGGATTCATAATCTAGTCACGCATGATCTATGACTTAAAACCCATTCAATGCTCAATAGCACAAGTAATCCATTTTTTCTTAAAACTACCATCATTAGTAAACTCAAAAGTCAAAAACCATTACTTCAATAAGTTTGTATTAGTAATTTAAAAAATACTATAAAGTCATGTAAATCTATTATCTATTATAACTTATATTAATTCTGAGCCACAAATTAGTTTATATACAACTCATCATCTTTCATGTCACATCAATTAAAATTTGATGTGGCACTCTTCGAAACTTCTCTATATAAATCTTTTAATATTCATCTTATATTCTATAAATTATTTCTCTATTTTATTTTTCATATACTAATCATTATTTTTTAGGCGTCTATCCACTTTTTTCGAACCTAAAATACATTATCTAATGATTTACTCCATAAAATACATTTTGTCTAATATTTAATTCAATTTTAATTGTAGTTACATATTAAAAAATTAAACATTAAATGTAAAGTTAAACAATTATTTTTATCCAATTTACATATAAATGTCCTACAATATATAAGTGGATTAAAAATAATTAATATAAAAAAACAATTTTGTTGAATTTAATCAATTGCACACATTGAAAATTAATGGCATAATGAAAGACAAACACATAAATATAATACTTTTGAATTTATTTTAATACCAAATTCGTCATCCAATCTATTATAATATATTAATTATGAGTTACAAATTAGTTTATTTACAACTCATCATCTTTCCTGCCACATTAATTAAAATTGGATGTGGCAGTCTTCCAAACTTCTCTATATAAACCTTTTAATATTCACCTTAGCATGTTGTGTGACGTTAAATTCACAATTATTTTTTTATAACACTATTACTTATATTCTACAAATCATTTCTCTATTTTATTTTTCATATACTAATCATTACTTTTTAGATGTTGTCCGCACGTGATTTTCGCGCGAACAACCTCTGACCTTCCTACGCGGATTTGCTTGCGGGACTGGCCAAACTAGTTTCAGGACGGTTTTTTGTTTCAGACGCGTTATTTGCTTGGATAATGGTGCACTTTGACGGTTATACCTTTCGTTTGGAATTTCAAAGACTAGGCAATGTAAAAGACAAGATTTTGGTATATATTCTGATAATGAGGCTTAAATGCCTAAACTACTGGGTAAACTTAGAATAAAACTTAAAGTAGAATGG